ATTCAAGTTATCATGTGATCCAATGATTTTAGTTTGAGTGTAGTAGATACCGATAAATATCCGTTTACATTTCCTTAATTTTCATGTTTTCATTTGGTCAAAAAGGGCCAAAAATGGCCAAATTCAATGGATCCGTCTCCATGGCAACCAAGTGCACGTGTGGAACTTCCGACACCATATTTGCTAGTTTTGTACCAAGACACATCTGTGGTGCAAATTTCATCAAAATCCGAGACAAGTCGTTTCCAAGCCCTATAGTAAATTTTTTGGTGCTTACAGAGAATGCGTGTTAATACACATAGTTTCAATTCACACTATACAAAAAGTGTACTTATAGTTGTGTCCTTTTGCAGGGTAATTTATGTCCTTTTGCTGGGTAATTTAAAGAAACAGCATTTCTCTTCTTTATCGTATGAAATTGTGATAATTTCCCTGTGTTTCAAAAAAATTTCTTTCAATGTATATTATGGGTTACCCCATCCTGAGGCAATTAAAACACAATATGCAAATATTTAAATGTTTTTGAATGCCAATTTTAAGTGACAAAATTAAGGTATAAACCACAAATTTTAATGCAAAGGCTACTAGGAGAATTCTATGGGTTTTTCATTAAAAATGTCTGCCAAGTGACTTCACTTTTAAAAATGCAGATCCAACTATTTGTCCAATGAAAAAGATGAGGAAAGCAAACAGTTATCGATCCCCCCCCAAATAAATACTGAAACATGTCCATAGGACATGAACATGTCCATAGGACATGAATGCCCCGCCCAGGGTTCATTAGTAATGCAACACGAAAATTTGTATTAGTTTAGGAAGTTTGATGAATTTACCGTTAAAACTGAGTTAAATACACAATTAATAGGAAAGTAAAAGGTCATTTGGGAAGTTCACCGTGAAAAAATGGACACAGTTGATAAATTCTCACCAAATAATGTATCAGTGCATATGCTTGCATAAAAAATATCTGGAATAGTTTCTTTGAGCAAAAAAAAAAAATTTGAGAAAGGTGAGGTCAATGTCAAAGAAAAGGTTGAGGTCAAAAATGTTGATGAAGTTGAACAGCTCATATCAATATGTATCAGCATATGAAGTTTGATAGAGTATCTTGATCTGTTTCTTTGAAAATATATTGAACACAAATTTGAAGTCAAGGTAAAAAAAAAAAGGTTAAGGTAAAAAATGCTGATGCAATTGAATAGCTCTCATCAATATGTATAAGCATATGAATTTGATGAAAAATATCTTAAATACTTTCTTTGAAATTTAGCTAAACACAAATTTAAATTTAAGGTCAAAAGAAAGATCAAGCTCAAAATAAAAAATGTTGATGCAGTTGAATAGCTCTCATCATTATGTATCCGCATATTAGGTTTGATTAAAATATCTTGAATAGTTTCTTTGAAACTGAGCTTAATACCATTTCATTAGTATGTATCAGGATCCGGTTGCATGAACGTTAGTTAAATTTAACTGGCCGTTAACTTTGCTTTAACCCGATGTTAAATTTAACGGTGAGTTAAACCGGTTGCACAAAAGTTAACTACAAGTTAAAGCTTAATTAATTTTCTGACAGATTTAACTGAGGTTACCTAGTTACATTAAATATTTAATTATTAATAAACATTAAAATCAAAATCGCGGACTTGTTATCATTTCAAAACTTATTAAAGTGGAAGGAAGAACTTATACAAAGATAATAGAAATGTCTGATTTGAGCAACATGCAAATTTAATCCCGATTTCGATTTAGGCAAGACTGTATTATACATGTATATATTGCGGATATATGTTGCGATATTATCTGCAAAGAACAACAAGACGAAAGCATTCCATAAGAGTATAGATATGGGTACTTTTTTTTAACTGATTATGCATACAATAAATGCCATTATATTTTATCGAAATGATCATCATTTTAAAAATATTTTAAATATTCAGACAATTAACCGAAAAGAAGGTTAATCGTTCAATTCAAACTTAAGGCACGTAAAACGGGGGGGGGGGGGGGGGGATTCCTCTCCCACTTTTGAGAGATTTAATTTTAATATTTTCAATTTCCCCTCCCAAAAATCAATGCCTCGTGTTAGAACTTTTAATACAGAATACTTACTTTGTAATTGCATTGTTTATACTGCTTGTAAAATGACTATCTTTCAATGTAAAAATTCATATTTTAAGTAACTATCTTTAATAATACATTTAATATATTTTACTAATTGATGTAAAATTAATATTTATAGTAAATAACCTTAGCAAATTTAAAACATTTATGAATTGACGTCATTTTGATTATGACGTCAGAAATATTCCACCATAGGTAAGGGAAATGCGCGTGTAGAACGATTTTAACAGAGAGTTAACTATAAGACATCAATTAAATGTGAGTTAGCTAATTTATTTTTAATAGACTTTCGAGCAACACTTTTTTAACTGACAGTTATGTAACTCGTCGTTAAAATTTTAACAGCTAGTTACAACACTAACTGGAAGTTAATTTAACTTACGTTCGTGCAACCGGATCCTGGATATTAGGTTTGATAAAAATATCTTGAATAGTTTTTTGGAAATTGAGCTAATCACAAATTTAGAAAAGGTCAAGGTCAATGGAAAGGTAAAGGTCAGAAAATTTTGATGCACTTGAATATCTCTCATCAATATGTATCAGCATATGAAGTTTGATAAAAATATCTTGTAATGAATAGTTTCTTTGAAATTGAGCTAAATGCAGTGTGATGGAAGGACAGAAGGATGGAAGACGGACATGACAAACACTATATGCCCCGGCTATATTCATGAAGGGGTATAAAAACAAAAGAAGACAAATCTGTAGACGGGGCATAAAACATGGACCCCTGGAAATTCCAGAGATGGAATCAGGTGCCTAGGAGGAGTAAGCATCCCCTATCGACCGAAATGGTGCTAAGTGTGCATGGTCATCTGAGGCCTATATTCATGAAATCTTTGTTTATGTGCTCTGGAAATGCATGAAAGATATTTGTAATTGTCATATTAAATGAAAATTTCTTGTGACAGCCTGAGAGAGTAACTTTTTCTTATTAATTATTTCAACAATATTTTCAACTTAATTCACAGTCAAAAATATACAAAATTATGGATCATATCAATAACAAAAATTTATTATTCACCTGGCATTTTTCTATAACACTGTACTAATTAGCTAAGTTCTGATTCATAAAATTACCGGTAATAATCAGAAGTTAATTTATTTAACAACAGTTGAGCTATTTGCATGTAATTTAAAAGACAACTTAAAAATAATTAAGGCCAAAATCAGAGTTGCCTTTCTTAGTTTTTAAGCAATACTTGTTGCCCCTCTTTTATTTCAAAAATTCAAATTGGAAGAAAAAAAAATTGAAAGAATATAAACAAGTTGTACTTTGGTATCTTGAACACTGATATCCCGCGTACCAAGGATATGTTGAAGTGATTTGGAAGTCACAACCACTTATTCTTTAAGTATTTTACCCCCGATATCTTGAATCCTTGGATATCTTGAAGTTTCTTCTTGGTCTCATTGAGTTCAAAATAATGAGAACTGACTGTATCTTTAAGTAAAGATCTTTAAAACATTAAAAATGTGCCATAAGAATCTTGAATAGATAGCAATGTACCATTTGAAAAATGGCAAAAAGGTAAATTCATGCAATACTGAATTTATCAAACACACATGTACAAATCCTTTCATTGTAGAACCTTTTCTTCGGTCAGTGGAATTTATTACAGCTTCTATATAAACTTCAAAGCAATAACAAAAGTCAGTGTCTCTGGTTTGCATTTCTTCAGCACTGAAGGAAGGATTTATGAATGTAACAAAGCGAGAATGACATCTCAAATAAATGATAAACCAAAGAGAGAAAAAAAAACAACAATCTAAACTGTTATTAACAGTGTGTATAGGGGTAGCAAAATGATACTGTTGGCTTCTTTAGTTTGGCAGTCATCAGCAGAGGGTGAATGATACCAGTGCCAGAAATAACAATGACAGTTAAACTCGGTAGGTGCCAGTACAAGTGCTGCCTGTCTGAGGAGAGAGGAGATGGGATCTAGAACTGTTAATTCCAGAGCCATCAATCCCCTGCTTGGCACTGAGCAGGAACATTGTAATGAACATGACTTTCTGTCGGAACTGACCACTCAGATTTGTTCACAATCAATCCAATTAAGACAAGGAGTAAAACATACAAGCAAAACATTTTCCTTTAGATTTTCATCTTTTAAAATTTAGCCAAATTAAAGAAAAAAAGGAACAGGTATTTGCCTCCAAGACGTGGTTTGATTCAAATTATAGATCTAAAGCTCAGACAAAATGAAGTTCTATGGGTTGTCCATCGTCGGAAACCCACGGTGGGTCTCGCTTCTCTTACCTAAGGTAAGAGAAGCGAGACCGACCGTGGGTTTCCGACGATGTGGGTTGTCCCCAAGAATTGAAATAGAAGGGGACATTAAAAAAGTAGAAAGGAGGCTGGGGTTCCTCCCCTAGCAGAGGGTTGAGGGGGAATGCAAGAATAAGTGGGGGATAATGTCATTACAGGCAGGGAAATTCCACAGACCCGGGGTCTTAAGGACAACCCTTAGTTCTTCCAATCACAGAAGTATAGTCCAAGCACCCCAATTTTCATTGGGAGCTTGACAATACAATTTAGAGTGTTGGATAATATTTTCTAGGCTTTTCATATCATAAAAGCATTATAATTGAAACATAAAGTTAAAATCCCCCCCCCACCCCCCCGGCAAATCAAAATTGCTTTAGAGCTAAAATGTTTACTATGTACTGCTCCATTGGATAAATTTTTATGGCAAAATTCTCAATTTCTGTCATATTTTGGGGCAGAAAAATTACAACTGTCTTAATTACCTAACCATATCCATGGGTAGGTAAAAATGGCGGATTATAGGGATTAATTTATAATTAGGCATGACTATGGTTTTTTCCCCATCATAAAGGTGCAATAAAAGTCAGACCAAGAAATCACATACTTGGAAGATCATAGAGAGTGTTGAAGATTCGGAAACGCTGCTCATCCCTCTGGACAAATCGATTTGGATAAATCTGGTGTAGGTCATGCCTGCAAATATGAAAATAAATATGTCAACAAAAATACTGATGAGAGAGAACAATATAGCTCCCTAGAATCAGCTCTGGAACGAGTCAACATGACAGAATTTGCTATAATAAAATAATAAAATGTATTATTGGCAAAATTGGGTTTTGCTGTTTAACAATATCAATACCATTATGTCTATTTGTATTTCAGGAGTTTATAATTTTTGGCACAGAACCCAACAGTTGTATGAAACAAGATTAACTCTCAGCATGAAAACAGGTGAAGTTCATGCGACAAAAGAGTGAAGAAAGCGCAAGAAAACAACATGTACTTAATTTCACTCACGATTCCTAATTACTTCTTTTAAAAAACTCTCCTGCCATTTTTGTTCTTCTAGAAGCTAAAAGCAGCTACACCCAGAGTTAATCCACTCCCTGGAATGCAGCCCAATGTGTCAAAAATTTTCAAAGTTCCTACAGGTTTATAAGCAGACTTACTGTGTAACCATCAGGTTTTAATGGCCTAAAATTTATTGAATTTTGAAACTGTTACATATGTGCTTTCAATTTTCCTATTCCTAGCTTTGAATCTGGAGCAGAAGCCGAGGATATGCCAAAAGTTCAGGAGTACCACTTTCTTAGTTTTGAAAAAAAAAAAAAAATAATATTGTCAGTGCCATCAGCTGAATCATTAGTAGATTTTATTCATGGTGAAGACATTCAGTTTTGTTTCTGAACAAAAATTTTATTTTGTTTAAGCAACATTAGGATTATACTAAAAATCTGTATCAAATTCTTCTGAAGACACATCATAGCACTTTAATCTTGTCAGGCTTTCACATTATAAATATTTACAAATATTTACAGTGAATGTTTCATCAACTCGAGCTGCATGTCATACAAGATGAACCCCTAAAAATAGCTTTACAGATGATATACTCCAGTGAACGTCCATAAAACTGCACACAGAATATGAAAAATGAAATAATTAATTGCCCGAAAAATGTCTGACTGACACATGCAGGGTATGGCAGTTGAAGCTTGAAAGTGCAAGTTACTTCAGTGCAGTCCAGAAGTTGATTTGTGTGTAAAATATCAAGTCATATCAAATCGTATCAGTAAATTATTAAAACAAAGAAGACGTAACACGCACTCCACATCACTATTGATTACAAATCTCTCCATGTTGCAAAATTTAGAAAAACATGTTCAATTCTTTATCAATTAAGGGGATGGGATATATCTTACTACAGGAACATAGATAAATGATGTAATACAAAATTTTGAACTAAATATTCCACTTAATATATCATCTAATATTTTACTCAACCTATTATCTTGTAATTTTTTTAACAGGTTAAGTGAGCAACAATGTATTATATACGTAATTTTTTTTTTTTTTTCTAAATATGCACGACTCTGATCTTTATATTTTGGACACAAAAGGAAGTGCACAAAAGATCAATCTCAGAGAGCTTCCTTTAATTTGTCAAACCTTTCACACCTTCTAGACTTAAATGGCACTATATGTTACATATATAGTTGGAGTGCAGGAAAGTTATGTCTTGAGAATTTTTAATTACAAACAATCCTACAGAGAAACCTTACTAATATCCAGTCTAATATCAAAAGCTGGAATTGTTAACCATTAATCAAAATACAAAAGAATTTACAGCTCAAGCATCATTTGCAAAAAATACTACCAGACATGAGAAGTTTAAATTCTTAAGAAATAAAAAAAAAGTTTTAAAAAATTCGGAGGATTTTAATTAAAGAGTAACTCCACTTTACAAATAGTTCAATTGTAAGGAAATGCTTCACAGGTGCATTACAAAAAGAAGAATGAGAAAAGCAATTCATAATTTTTCTCACCTTCACCAAAAGCATACTTTTTTAAGACTTTATCTATATCCGACAAGAACAAAGGGACCAGTCGAAACAAAAGCAGCCTGTGAAACATCAATTCCCCAACCCCTGGGAAGCATTAGCCAATCTATTGCATACAGGCTTCCATTTCTTTAATGAGATCATTTAGTAGATTTATGCCCGTGGTGTCATATTTGACAAATTGTGATGGAATACATGCATGTGCTACGGCTTGTATCTTCCCCCATAGTAAAAATGCAGAACTTGCATAAGTAAAACTTATTCTGTTTCTATAGCAACTCAGTTTTTTTTTAAATATCCCATAAGCCATCTTGAGATCATTTGATTTTTCAAGGGGGCACCTGTCTTTTGTTTTCTAAGCTTTTTATGTATCTTAAGTGTATAGGATGGGTGAAAGTAAATAATACGACCCTCACACTTTTTTTTTTTTTTTTTTTTAAATTTTTACGTTTTCAAGAAAAGGTTATTAACTCGAGTGCATAATTATAGAAATGATAAAATTTCATGAAGAAAACCCTCAGATAATTCAGCTTTTTCCCCTTCTTTTTTTCAAAAATACAAATTTAAAAATTCATTCTCTTCCACTTTAACATCACTCCGCTTCATGGTGGAAGTGTACACAATGACCTTTTGGGAATGATACTGCACAGTGATGTCCCTAACTGCAGGTTCATCATTTCCAATGAAATAATATTTTGTTACTCACTTACATACTGGCAAACATAGAAGAGAGGCTGATTTCAGAAGTCATTTGCTATGGTAGTATGCAGGTAATACCCCTGTGATGTAAGCAATGGCTGTTTCCACATGTCCAAACATCTATATAGTTGGCAGTAATGCAACCAATGACGTTCTATGGTACACATATTTCTTAAGACTCATGGCATTTTCACCAACTGTTGTTTTTCATCAAACGAGATTGTGATGCATTAGTAATGGCAAATTTTCTACGCATCATTTTGAATTGAGGAATAAAAGAGAACGAACGGAATTTTCTGCCCCTGCAGCCAAGGAAATAAAAACAAGTAATGGTAAAGGCATCAGGCAATGAGAAGTGCAAACAAACAAAAAAATAAATGTTAGTTTTTCAATTATCACTAAAACCAACACACTTCATACTGAACTTCCTATTGAAAGTGTCTTTTGCATTATGTTTGTTACCATAACCTATTTTTCCTTTTCAAAACTTCTTTAAAGTAAAACTAGACAGCCAGCAAACAGGCACACTTAAATATGATATATTATAGTGCTATTGTGAAACATGCAATGTCAAACAAAGAAGTTCTTAACTGTCAAACAGACACTATAAAAACACAGACAATTGGGTAATTAGGGGCCTCTAAATAAAGATGAAATATCTCCTGCATTCACATTGACTTCACAGTTAAGTGCATCACAGTTTAATATTTTTTTTAGTTTTTTTTTCTTTACACAAGATGGTTTTTAAAATTTTTATTCTTAATTTCTTTAACCTGTTTTAGTGCGTCACATACTATACATGTATCAGTAGCATGTCGGAAATGCGACCCTGCCAACACTTAGGTATATAACTCAATAGACCAAACTAAATGGTAAAGAACTGAGAGTTTTTTTTTTTCTTTTCCGACCATCTGCCTGCCTTTTGGAAACACATGTTTTATGAAATACAAATGCACAAAAACTATGCAAAGGCGCATGACATACCGCTGATCTTATAAATAGGCCCACGATGAAGAAACCAAAAATTCTGATACTTTTCACCTGCTCTCGTATAATTAATGTCAATTTTTATGTATACTTCAGCTCTTTTTTTTTTTTAATGAGAAGTGCTGAAAATTAACTTGTGATACTCTCTAATGAATATAAAGTTTCACGCTAATTAATTTCCATTCTGATCTTTAAACGAGAGATACTCTCTTTTAGATTTTTATAAACTCTAAGTGTTTTAGTAGTGTTTGAAAGAGTGCAGACCTAAATTTTTGGTATTCCCAAAAACTGTAATACACACTTTATAACTTTATGGATAAAAGTATGCATAAAATCAGATATTTCAGATTCATAAAATTGATTTTGCTCTGCTCATGCAGATAGCTAGTGTAAACTCAAAAGAAAATGAGGGAGTGGGGAAATTTATATTGTTCCAACTACTTCTCCCCCCATTGACAAGGTTATCTGTGTTTTCATTAATTTTACAAGTCAATTAAGATAGGTAGTTTTCTCTCTTTCTGATGGCTAAGAATTCTCACACACATTACAGCAATAGCTTGTGAAGTTTTTGGCATCATTTAACATCATATGGGAACTAACGGCAGGAGAGGAAGCACCAGCTGATGATCTTATTGAGAAATTCAATAAACCTTCTAACACCAGAGTCAAACTCTGACATTATTGTGTGGTAAATAAAGTTTAAATAATAACATTTCCTCATTCAAGTTAATCAGCAGAGAAAAGAATGTGTTAAAATTCTATGATTTATTTGTAAATGTTCATGCAAAATGGAATGCTTAAGATAGAAATCATCCATGAATCATCATATACTATACAAAATTCTAAAAGCTATTTTCCATCTCTTCATCTTTCAAAGGCAAAATCATAATTTTTGTACACTTTTGTATTCAAATAGTAAACTTTTCATTTTTCTCTGACAAATTTCTTTGAAACAGTATCCAAACATACATAAATAAAAAAAAAATTAGCAATTATCTTTGAAACAGTATCCAAACACACTTCAATAAAAAAAAAAATTAGCAATGATAATGAACACCAAAAGTATACAAGAGTCAGTCAACCTGCTTTGTTGATTGTACAAAAGAACCTCATTACGAGTGACAGCTCATGACAAGGCCAGGTCATATCGCACACAGAAGCTGAGAGGCTCGGGAGCAGATCATCAGGTGATACTGCCAATCATAGTCCTGACTCTGGTGCCTCCTGACCTGGTGACCAATAAGGGTGACATCCCTCGCACAATGCAGCCTCATTATGAGCTGGCTATCCTGTATCAGACGTACGTACATTATCTGTCTCAAAAAAGTAATCTTAGTCTCAGAAACCCCTTTTCTGATTCGTCACGTAATGAATTTTAACTCAGTTCGTTGCAATAAATATTTATTTGGTTTCTTTTAAGCTTGTGTTCAGTCATGCATGACCAAAGGA